AAAAAAAAAAAAAAAAAAAAAAAAAAAAAAAAAAAAAAAAAAAAAAAAAAAAAAAAAAAAAAGTTCAAAATGGATAACCGTCAAAGCTTTAACGGTAACAAACTACCACTGTCGCGCCTCTTCTCTCGTACATTAAATGCCCGACCATCAACTTCCTCAAACCCTCACAATTCCCTTCACAAAGAACCCACGGCGGCGCTCTCGACGGCGCCGCCGCCGCAAAAACCCCACCAAACACCGTCGAGCACACATGGCAATCGATCCAAGGAACACCATGGGCGCCTTCGAACCAGATCAAGACCCATACGACAGTTCCATCAACGCCAACATTCTCAATTTCGCCAACGACCAAAACCCAACTCTCGACGACTTGCAGTCCACAGCAGAGCAGCCAGTGGCGGCGGCGCGTGACTCCCACGGCGGCCGAACAAGCGCTTTTCAGAACATGGGTATGGTGGAATTGTTGACACATTTCAGTTTCGGTGGACAATATGATTCAGAAGCAGGCCCCTCAAATGCCGGCGAAGCAGCAAGCAATTTTGAAGAAGATGATGATATTCAAATACCCAGTGAAGTCAAATCGAAATTGCTCGCAATTTGGCCCGTAACTCCGGTGCCGTTTCTGTGCAGTTGCTGCCAAGTTCTAAGAGAATTTCTTCATAGCAATGGTCGATTTCTTCATAAATCAACATCATAAACACAAATTCACTGAAATTTCCCTGTTTTTTTTTAATCAATTCGTATATTTCTCGAACAGGGGTGAACAGCAGAAAACTGGAGATTCATGGTCGACTTGGAATGATCTGTCATGCAATTCTGGAACATAAACCGATTGTTAATGTGGATAATATAAGTCCTCAGTATCAAATGTTCGAGTAAGATATCAAATTTTGTTTAATTTGATCTGATTTTACTTCGATTGATTTGTTGTTTTTTGTTTTTTGTTTTTAAAGTTTTTGTGACAAAAGCTTTGAGGAGATCAAGCAGTTCTTGCTGCAGTATTGTTTGAAGCAAATTTTGGAGGATTATAATATGATTCCAGATCCGATGTCGAATTTCTACGACGCGCTTTGTGTCGGGATTGACTGGTTTGAAAATCTCAATACTACTGATGCGTTCTTCCAACAGTCTCCTGATAATTCTGGTTCGTTAAATGAATATCTTCGTTTTAATTTGAAACAAATTTATTTTTGAGAAGAAAAAACGTGAACTTGTTTGCGTAGAAGATGAAGATATGGATCAGTCCGTCCCTGGGTTCCAAAATGATACGCCTGAGCCGCAAGGCCAACCATCTAGACGGCCCTCGCTTGCAGCACAGGTTTGTTTTAGTTATTGGAGTGTATACAGGTTAGGTTGGGTTGGGTTGGTCGACTTAAAATTTAAGGTTGGTTAGGTGGATGACCCGAATGACTCGGTTTACAACAGAACACTTTGTTTATCTTTAAAAAATTCAACCCAATCCAAAGTTGAATTATTCAAATCTGGTCACACGAACACATTTACTTTTTTATTATTATTATTAATTTGACAGAGGCAGAGAACAGGGAGGATGACGGTGAACGATGTGTGGGAGTATCTTCATCTTCCGATATCAGAAGCATCGAAGAAGTTGAATGTGTGCAATACGGTGTTGAAGAAGATATGTCGGCGGAGTGGTCTCAGCCGCTGGCCTTACAGAAAGGTAGGTGGCACTATTTTTTCTTTTTGAAATCTAAACTCTAATTTAAGGAAAAACTGGTGCAGATACGAAGTTACGAGAGGCGAATAGCAGCGCTGAAAACCACAATAAATTCCAGTTATGGAGACACTAGAACCCGAGCCGAAGCTGAGATCCAAAGGGTTCAGAAAGAACTTTCTGATTTTTGTGCTCGAATCAGAATTTGATTATCATTATTTTGTACATTTTATTTATTTATTTATTTTTTTTATTTTTGTTCTTTTTTCTTTTTAAAACTAATTTTTAATAATTGATATATTATATAAATTTAAATTTAAGTTGAATGAAATCATAATATATTCTTTATATATATATATATATATATATGAGGTTAAGGTCGAGAATGAGACAAAAATACAATTTTTATCCCCGACTCCATTTAACTAACTCGTAGTTAATTATAATTTTTAAAATTAAACCTATTTATATTATATTATTGATATTGAGAAAGTATGCCCAAAATAAATGATTAATTTATTATAATAAATTAAATTAAAATTTGTAATTTATTGAATAAAAAAAAAAGATATTTTATTACAAAATGAACCAATTATCCGTCGTGCGGGTGTTAGGGCTCCATTAGATTTTGCTATTTCCGGGCCCAAAATCGCTGCTTTCCGGACTTTTCCCCTTTTTATCCAATTCATTTAATTTCACTTCTCTCATCCGATTGAAGTCCGCGTTCATCTCCTCTCTATGTCCAATTTCCACTGTTGTTTCAGAGGTCAAATATTTGGCTGTTTTTTTTCCCTCCTTTTGCTTTCTCTCCTCCCTTCTTCCTCGCCGTGTTTCTCGATCTGTTGTTCATTTTTCTCTCTGTCAATCTTTCACTCTCTATCAATTTTGTGGCGCTTCCAGTTCGAAGGGTGAGAGCTGTCGGCCATGGACGGAGGTGCTCCGTACAATCCACGTACTGTGGAAGAGGTGTTTAGGGATTTCAAGGGCCGGAGAGCTGGTTTAATTAAGGCTCTCACTACTGGTCAAGTCTTACTTTGTGTTCTTCCTTTGAAATTCTTTCGCGCTTTTGTCCTTTTGCTTTTCTGGTTTTTATTGATTTTTTTCCTCTCATAATTACCAGTTCTGCTTTTGTGATTGCAGATGTTGAAGAGTTCTACCAGCAATGTGATCCTGGTTTGATTTTATTGCTGCTCGTTTATGTTTTTAGATTCTTGTGTGCGTTGTCCGAAAGAGATGTTAGTAGTTTCTTGCTAGGAACCGAGATTTGACCACTGCAAAGTTCAACTAAAGAGATTACAGAATCGATGAGTTTTGATGTTTTCATCGGCTTAATTTTCTAAGCCAATTTGTCATTTCTTTCTTTAGTAAGCTGGAAGTAATTAGCTTTAATGCTAATATTGTGATATAATTTTGAAATGGCTTGGCTTAGGAAGAACTAAGCATGTATTGTTCACTAATTTTTAACACATTTGTCACGCGTTGTGTCTATTTCCAATGGAATTTTTGTTTGAATTATAACCTAAATTTTCTTAAATTACAGAGAAAGAAAATCTCTGCCTTTACGGGTTTCCTAGTGAGCAGTGGGAAGTCAATTTACCAGCCGAAGAGGTGCCTCCAGAGCTTCCAGAACCTGCGCTGGGCATAAATTTTGCTAGAGACGGGATGCAAGAAAAAGACTGGCTATCCTTGGTTGCTGTGCATAGTGATGTTTGGCTGCTTTCTGTGGCATTTTATTTTGGAGCTAGGTTTGGATTTGATAAGACAGATAGGTATGTGTTATTCTGACCTGCACTTCCTTATTTTATAGTTGTAGCGAAGGCCTTGGTATGAGCTTCAAGCCTCTCTCTGTCTTTTAATTGTCTTTGAGTTGTTCTTAATATAATATTTGATTCAATGATTTCTCAGTTCATGTGTAGTGGGAAACTGTTTTGCTTTGCCGTTGGATTCTTTCTTTGGGTATTGGTGATAGGTAGATTGTAAGCCCATGCATGCTTTCTATGTGCTAAATTTTTAAAAAATGGAGTTCTTTTGTGGTATGCTATAACTTGGTTAGGTTATGGATTGAATTTGTATACCCAATCTCTTTCTCACAAGGGTTTGTTACAAACTGTTTACTTCTTCTTTTCTCATAATCATATGTTTTATAAATTATATTCGGCCTCACATCCCAAAACATATGCTTTATGCTCTGAAGCATAAACACTTGTGAGTAATGTGTTTGCTCAATACGTGGTGGACACTTGTTGCATATATCGGACATGAGTTGGGTACTTGTTTCCTGAAGCATTGTGTATTTCTTCACTTGATTTCTTTTTTTTTTTTTTTTTTTTTTTTTTTTTTACTTTTAAATTCATCACTTCTTTTATATCTACTTCTAAATGAAAATATACCAAACTAATGCATATTTTTAATACAAAAGGGTATTTTATAAAATGTAAATTTAAGCAAGCATGCCTTTTGCCATGCTCCTGTCCTGATTTTATAGAAAATGATGTGCAGTGTCTGGCATGCTGTGGCTTCATAGGTTTTATCTCCCTGATGTACATCGCGAGTTTTTCAAAGGAGTTGTCCCCTTGACATGTTTTCATAAAGTTTTTGATTTCACACGATTTCATCAAGTTTTGTTTTCAGGATTCTATTTCAGTGTTTGACTTCCAGATTTTTCATTTGCATTTCACATGTTTGATAAGATTATCCTAACTTAAATGCATAAACTAGGTTCGTAGCTGAGGTAAAGGATGATTAACTTACTTCAGGCTTCATTATCATGATGGAGAGTCCATGTTTTACTTTCTCTGTTTTGTTCCAACTCTCAAGGTGTAGGATAATCAGCATAAACACACTCTATGTTCTTGTGGTTTCTTCATTACAACAGGGTCCTTGACATGTTCTGTTGCTTTTGTTGCAGGAAGCGTCTATTTAATATGATAAATGATCTTCCAACAATATTTGAAGTTGTGACAGGGACAGCCAAAAAACAAGTTAAGGATAAATCATCAGTTTCAAATCATAGCAGTAATAAATCTAAATCAAATCCAAAGGTTTGAAAGATATTTTTAATCGTGCTTTCTCCCCTTTTCTTAGTTTTTTTAGCCTCTTCAGCTTAAAATGGCCATAGACACTACAACTACTAGTAGTTATTTTTCATCTCTAATGGTTTGGCTGAGGTGCAGCCTTGTAGAAACCTTCTACTTGCATCTTAGATGCCGGAATCACGACCTTCCACAATGGTATGATATTGTCTACTTTGAGCATAAGCTCTCATGGCTTTGCTCTGGGCTTTCCCAAAAGGCCTCGTACCAATGAAGATGTATTCCTTATAAACCCATGATCATTCCCTAAATTAGCCAATGTGGGACTCCCTCCTAACTACAGTAAATATACTATACTACAGTAGATTGATCAATATGTGATTCAATCCATGATGGAGGCAACTTATTAAGCATATTTCTTGGCATATTTTTTCAATATTCAGCGGAGTTCTGAACCTCAAATAAAAACTACGAAGGCAGTTCAATCAAAAGATGAGGACGAGGAAGGTTTGGATGAGGAAGACGAGGAAGAACACGGTGAAACACTTTGTGGAGCTTGTGGAGAGAATTATGCATCTGATGAGTTCTGGATTTGCTGTGACATATGTGAGAAATGGTTCCATGGGAAATGTGTAAAGATCACTCCGGCAAGGGCAGAGCATATTAAGCAGTATAAATGTCCATCTTGCAGCAACAAAAGAATCCGACCCTGATGTTGTTTAATTGTTAGCACCAACAACTTCCCCTGCCTCCCAAAACCAAAGCAAAAAGAGAAAACAAAAGGAAAAAGAACCAAGAGATGTCAAAGGGTTCTACTTAGGATCTCAGCTTAGACGGCTAATTGTGTATTAGGATTAGTTTAAACTTTACATTAGGACACTAGACATTCTATGTGTATTTGTGGACATAATCCTTTTTGCTCAAGTATTGTATGAACTATATGTATTTTGTATGTGCTATAATGTGTTCTTGTCAAGGCTTATATTTGACAGATGCCTTGCTCTATTGTACATGCCGTTCGGGTCATGGGGACGCAACCGGGTGAGGTTTGGTTTGGTTTGATTGGCGGGTTTATTATGCATTGAAGATTAGTTGCCCTCACATTCCATCTCATACCAATTTGATAGCAATTGACATAAACATGGTTTATTTCCCCTAACGATCTTTCTATTTCTAGGGCTCAATGTTCTTGCTAGTACATTGTCTAGTGTTTGGCTCTGATATCATTTGTAATCGTTAAGCCCACCACTAGCAAATATTATTCGTTTTGAAAGGAGGTGGATTGTGAGATCTCACATCCGTCGGAGAAAACATTCTTTATAAGGGCTTGAAAATCTCTGCCTAGTAGATACATTTTAAAAGCTTTGAGGGGAAACTCAAAAAGAAAAAATCTAAAAAGGACTATTTGTGATCTAACCTAGTACTATTATGATAATTATTTTAATTATTTATTACTAAAATCAAATATAAGGATAATTTATTTATTAATTATAAAAACCAATTGCCCTCTTATTAATGTTTTCATCCATATTTATTGATATATTTTTATTATTCCTTCGTCTAGTTTATTCCTTTAGTTTCTTTGTCGGCTAATTTTAATCACATGTACCAAAATTTATATTTTTTAAATTTATAAATTATGAATTTGACTTATTATGGTTTGAGCTTTGGTTATTATAAATTAACCATTTTGTGCTTGTTTACAAATTTGATCCTATTGTGTGTATGCAATTTAGCTTTATTTCATGATTTAAACTTGTCCATGGAGTCGGAAAATTAACAACTCTATAGATATACTTTCTACCTCAACACAGTCCGTTTATCCGTTTCAAGCAACGTAGTTATATTGTTTATAATGTAGCAGTATTGTTTGGACTTTTTCTGTAACGACCTATGCTTAAGTTTCATAATCTAGATTTGTCACCCAACGTAGAATTGTACAGAGCAAAATATAAAACAAGCTTTAACTTTGAGGTTTCTATAATTGAGGCACCAAATGAAAGATACAGTAACTTTCAGTTTTTTTTATGTCTTTTTTAATTATCATATCCTCAAGAACTCTCTCATTTAGATATGGTCTCGGGCTTACGTACCAACCAAACCTACCACTTTTTTTAATTATCATTTAGAACCTACCAACAAAATAACTTATTCTAACTTAAGACTAGGAATTTAAA